GATATTCATAGTGAAACATAAGGCAGATGGGACAATAGAAAGATATAAAGCTAGATTGGTGGCAAAAGGCTATACCCAAACTTATGGGATTGACTATGAGGAGACCTTTGCCCTAGTGGCAAAGATGAATACAGTTCGAGTTGTTCTCGCTTTGGCTGCTCATTTTGGTTGGGACTTACACCAGTTGGATGTGAAGAATGCCTTTCTTCATGGAAATCTGGAAGAGGAAGTGTACACGGAGATTCCCCCTAGAGCATGGTTTGGAAGATTTACAAAAGCAATGGTTTCCTTGGGATACAGACAAAGCCAAGGAGATCATACTCTATTCATAAAGAACTCTTCTATAGGTAAATTCACTCTATTGCTTGTCTATGTGGATGATATGATTATTATAGGAGATGATAAAACAAAAAAATTGGCATTAAAAGAAAAATTGGCAGCCCAATTTGAAATGAAAGACCTAGGAAAACTAAGTATTTTCTTGGAATAGAGGTTGCTTATTCCATGAACGAAATTTTCATCTCCCAAAGGAAATATGTACTTGATCTCCTCAAAGAAACAGGAAAGCTGGGATGTAGAACCTCAACAGTTCTTATATAGAAGAATCACAGAATTGGAAGTGAAGAAAATGCTCTTGTGGAAATTTTCCGTCAGAAATTTACATTTTTCTTGTAGTGACAATGATACACCACGATGATCATGACTATTATTGTCATTGTCGTCATTATTACCATTGTTGTTAATAATGGTGGTGATGACAACATCAATGATGACAATAACGGTGGCGGTAGCAACGATGCCAATATTGGCGTTGTCACCATTATTCTCACTGCCACCGTTATTAATTTGTTACTATCATCGCCACCACTGTTCTTAATGACAATGATAGTAATGGTGTGACAATAGTAACAATGATGAAAACATCAATAATAGATAGTGGTACATGTTGATATTTGTAGAAAAGATAATAATAATAATTTTGTAAAGAAATGTTTATACTTGAGTTTTAATCTTGATAATTAATTATTTTTATCTTCAATCTAAAAATTATGATTTACTCCACACATATATCTCATAATAAGACATGCTCTAATTGAATACTATATATATATATATATATATATATATCAAATCTATAAATTTTAAAAAATTTAAAAATTATTTGATATTTTATTTTATTAATTCAAATTGATTAATAATCATAAAAATATTTTATATATTGATTTGAATTTATATAACAAAGTATCGTATGATTTTCAATCTTTTTAAAAATTTGTATATTTCATCAATACATTAAGAACTTTTAATTTAATATGATTGGATTATTCAGATTTGAGGTAGTACATGAGTTATTTAATAAAATAAGTCTATCAAAAATTACTCTTGCATTAAATGAATCTATATGTGTGTGTATAATACCAAAAATCCTTAAACTAAAAAAACAACTTATATTAAAAGATTGTAAATAAAACTACATATTACTATTATAGTTGTCATTTATCATTGTCGTTGTCACAATCGTCACAACTATTGTTGTCACTACCAATGCCATTGTTACTGTCACTATTAATATTGTCACTACTATCAATACTACAATCATCACTAATAGTATTATTGTTACCATCAGCGATACCAACATCATTATCATCATTAATTGACATAATTAATTACTACCATCATGATTAACATAATTATCAAAAATAAAAT